TGCAGACTCACTATATAAGGGCTGAATGTTCCACTGGCCCTGGGGTTGAGCCCCCATTAACATTTCACCAATGGCAGAAATGTTCCAATTATTACCAGCTCTGATATCTATCCTGGGATAAATAACCAGCCAGGAATGCTTAAAAAAAAAAAAAAAAAAGTTCACAAAACAAACCTGGAAAACAAATTACCCATTAATAACCAGTTGTAATATTCCCCATAAAAATTAAATCTATGGAACAAAAGTATGAATCAAATACATTTAAATACTAAAACACTTCTGAGTTTGCCTTTTTATTTAATGAGATTTATTTACAGTAACAAAAATATAGGATATCACCACTTTTATCCTTTAAATGAGATGATGGGATTTGCACATGGACAGTTAACAGCAGAGACCAGATTAAATTTATTTGTTTATTTGGAACCCATCTCCAAATCATGTCAGCAACTTCTATTTTTTTTTTTTTCCATTTCCCATTTCACAAAATATTTACAAAAAAAGAGAACGATTTTTTCTCCTCCTTATGTTAGGTGTTGTAACAGCTCCTTTGTATGATGATGAATCGTTTCTTACATCTTTCAGCTTTGTTGTTCTAGAAAAAGACCATGAAAAAAAAACTTCCTCCCACCATTCTTTTATACACTCATTTTAAAACTGCCCCCTCCACATTGTTTTCTGTTTCTGAGTGCTTTAAAAAAGAAAAAAAAAAAAACATTCTTCCTTACATGCTTTCAGCTGCAAACAGGAAGTCAATAGCTCATGTGCTTTTTTTTTTTTTTTTCAGAGGAAGTGACATCTTTGCCCTGCAGGAAGTACAATTACAGCATCCTTAGATCGTCCAGATGCATGATTGGTTTTGTGAAGTCATTGTCTCTACATGATTCCTACAGATGTACCAAATAACACAAAGTCATATTAATCACAAAGAAACCAGGGAAAACAGTCTTTGAAGTCTTTAGTCTGTCCTTCTGTGGCAGCAGGAAGTAAGGGGGGGGGGCCCGTCCTTAGGAAGGCGTCCACAAGTGCATTGTGGGTGTTCCATGGAAGAGCGTTTTGCGTTCAAGCTGTGCGATGCATCCCTGAACTCAGCAAATGAAAGGAAGAAGTGCCGAGATGATCAAAATAAAAAATAAACAAAATGCGAGGATGATCTTCCCCATTAAAAAAAAAGGATCAAACAAAGTCAGCTCGTGGAAAAATATCATAAGGCAGCTGGGCCTCAGCGTAACTTCAGGGGTGATTATATCGAGAGGAACATGAGCTGAAGCCAGAAGCCTGTTCTCTTCTATTTTTTCCTTGGTGAGAAATTGTGACAAAGCATTAAAAGCATTTTTTTCCCTAATAAGAGTTTATTTTCTATCAATTTGCATCCTACTCTATAAATAAAAAGATAAACGTTGCCGTTGCCTTCTGAACCCTTGTTTTTTTTAATAACATTTTTTATTCCTCTGTAACACAGAGCCGAGTTGTGCCAAAGTGGGCAGAGTTTGTGTTTTATCTACATGAAAACACTGGATGAATGAAAGTAATATTAAAAACGGATCAACCCTGCCCCCCGAATCTACATCTGTGCGCAGATGCAAACACAGTTTCAGTGTTTTTGTTTTTTCAGATTTATAAATCTGTGAGGGTGTGCTATATTGGTGCCTGTCTCTTTAATTTAGGAGACCATCTGCTGTGTTAACTGGTGACATAGTGCTTGGTGGAAGGTTGGCCATACAGCCCGTAGAAATCTGCGTGTCTGTGTGTTTGGGAGGCGTCTATCCAGTCCCTCACCGCCAGCCCCTGCATGGACGGACCTCCAGAAGCCAGGCTCGGAGGAGGAGGGTAGTCCTGGGGGCTCACCCAGGGGAATGAGCCCGACCGCGGGTACGGAGGGTGGCTGCGGTGGCCCGACACAGACGGCACTCCAGAGCAGTAGCAGTTATCCATGGTGCAGACCAGGATCTTGCGGCCGCCGTACTGCGGGAGCACGGCCTGCTGGGAGGAGTGGGAGGAGCTGCTTCCTCCCGGTGGGAAATGCGAGGAGCTGAACACGGAACCAGAGTGGTGGTTGGTCAGTGAGCCGGTTCCAGCACCGCCGCCTTCGCTGATGTGAGGCGGGGCACAGGGGCCCAGAGTCTGCTGATTGGTGGACTGGCCCTCTCCGGAGGCGGAGCCAGATCCTAGATAGGGCTGCTTAGCTAGTGACGAAGAGGAAGATGAGGAGGAGTCTTTAAAACCCGGAGCGCTGCTTTTGCCCGTGTTTCCGTTTCCCTCTGGGAAGGCGTTGGAATGTTTCCTTTTCTCCGCTCCGGAGCCAGAGCTCTGACCGCTGGGGAAAGCAGCGACGGTCTGCAGGAATGCTGATGGAGGGGTGAGGGGAACTGGGAGAAGATGACATTTGTAAGGTTAGCATAAGAGAAACAAGCCGGGCTCAGATTAAAGCTTCACACACTCATGTCAGGATGCTCACCTTCAAGAGTTCGCTTCAAGCTCTTCTCTCTTTTTGAGATCTCGGAAAGAAACAGCTTGGAGTTTAGATTCCCAACTTTGTAAGGAGGGAGGCTGCTTCCCACACATGCCTGAGATCTGCAACAATGTGACCACAGGGATGCAAAAGACTTATAAAGCATTTCCAGAAGCAGCAACATCAAAGTTATCATTTATTCCTGCAATTCAGCTCAAATGTTTTACTTTTAAACTTTTGTCTGTTCATATTGATGGTTCTGATTTTCAGCCAGTAAAGAGCAAGAATTCAATTGAAAAGATAAAAACTGCATAAGATCAACAGAAATAATTTCTAAAAGGAAAAAAAATAGTTTTTGTCATTCATGGTATAAATAATTAAGCTCTGTATCCAAACATATCAATGAAAAGTTTGTTGAAAGAAAAAAAACTCTGGTTAAAAAGAACGTTGGAGAACAAACAGAGTTTTAGTCAGAACTAAAGATCCAAGATTTTAAAGAAGCCTTCAAGAGACACAGAATCAGGGCTGCTTGAAGCTTAGCGTTAAATTCTCACAGTCAGTGATGATTTATGGAAGCCAGGCTGCTCCAAAGACAGCGCAGACATCTACCAGGAGACTTGAAAGCTCTTCATGTTTGCATTTGCAGAAAGATATTTTAAAGATCCTGGTGTTATTTTTAAACAGGTCTACCTGCCCAGACTGTGGCTTGTTGGCCATGCTTACTAAAGGTTTACATTAAAGGTTTAAATTACATAGTCAAGATGATAAAAAAAAAAGTAAAATCATCCTATATGTCAGCACAGAAGTGAAAGCGTCAAAATTATATTAGTCAAACATTGATACTTTGATAGGAGGCAAAGTCACTATGTGACATTTTCTCAATTTTTTTTTACCCTTTTTATTAATTTCTAAACATTAAGGGAGAAAAAAAGTGGAATCACCACTGCTGATCACCACAGCTGCATAGAAGCTTTTATTTTTCACGTCACTGTATAAAATCAACACTACAGAGATCAACAATAGATATTTAGATATAAGCGTTGGTGTTCTGTCAGAACAGCATACGCTGTCAAATCGGCATACATTGTTCTAATGCACATTAATTATTCCCACATAGAATTTTAGCAGCAGTGTACTGACTGGCAAAAAAAAAAAAATTATTTTAACTTTTAAAAAACGAAATCAGCTTTGATTATACTGTTATTTTTTTTAGATACAAAAAGGGCCAGACATGATTGAAGTTTCCTGGATGTTGAGAGAAGAAGTGTCTATATCTAGAATCATCATTAGTCAATGTTAATGTAAAATAAGTTACTTTAGTAGAAAAAAAATCTGTGTACGGGAATTTAAATTTGGATAGATTTTGTTTTTATGTTTAAAATCATAGAAAACATTGGCTATGGTTTATATTGTGACTCAGAATTAATTTCGTTTAGATAAAAACCTAAGCGTATGCTGATCTGACAGCGTATAAACCAAACTTGAAACGGTAAATTATCTTTTATGCAATATCCAGACTCAGATGTCGTCTCACCTGTCTGTGAGGATTTTAACAGGCTTTGTGTTCTTCATGAAGCTCAGCTCCTCTGCCTTGCTGAAGGCCGTGTTGATGGAGCTCAGTAGCTTTTGGGCCTCATGGCGCTGCTCCCCTAGGGCCAAAACCTGGGCTGCATTCTCCTGGAAGAAGCGAGCCTGAGCCCGATCCAGAGCCTCCAGCGTACGACCGAGATCCTCCTCCAGGAGCTGATGCATGCGCTGGTACTGCAGGCGCACCTCCTCCTTCAGCTCGCACACTCTGTCCTGTAGAGAAAACAGCTTAAGGTGGATAAAGCTTCTCCATATTTCTGTAAAAAAAAAAGTGCTTTAAACGTACCTCCACTGTGCACTTGTCAGAGTCAAGTTTGCAAAGCTGCTCCTCGATCTCCTGCACTCTCTCCTCTACTCGCTCCTGCTGTCTCAGCAGGTTTTGCTAAAAGAGAGGAAAAGGCTTTTGTTTAATTTGTTACCTCCAGTCAGCCACTCACCATACCAGAGATATTAGAATTCCTGGTGTTGGCTAATTTAGTCTCCATCTAACATGCAACCCCTGCAAGGGAGGAAAGGAGGGGGACGCTGTCATAGCAACCAGCAGCTATTTAGTGTTTGCATTAGAGAGTGAGGACCAAAGTTGGGGGGAGCTGGAGGCATTGAGCAGAGATAGATAAATGGTCAGTTAAAAGCTCCAGCAGCTCTGCTCTCCCCTTGCTGAACCTCCTCCTCCTCCATTCAGTACTTTCTTCCTAAGAGACATTAGATCACCCACTGGAGGCTGCTCTGAGCTGTGGCCATGTTTTAGCAAAAGCACCTATTATTTCCAGAGGAGGATGGCATGTGAACAACAGAAGACGGCTGCCCGGCCAAACCCTTCAAACTGTGTTTAATTTGTGCAGAAAATAAACAAATGAACGCTGGCTGTATAGATTTCCAATTACCAAATATTATCCAGTTAACAAGCCAGGTTTTTATTTCCTTTTCCCCATGTTTTTATATTTAAAAGTATTCGTTTTCCAACCGAGCACCTGGTCAATATTTAAATGTCAATCTGTAAATAAAGAACAAAGTATGTGGTTAATTGTTAAGCTGTGCAATACCTTTATATTAAGTGGAGCCAATAGACATTTTCTTATTTATCACATTAGAAAACTGGTGTAAAAAACTTGCTATATTTGGTATTTAAAATGCCTCTTTTTTCCCACCCAGCTAAAAAAAAAAGAATAAAAAAAAAAAAAAAACCTATTTGAAATTGCAGACCTAAATAATGGACCAAAAAGGACTAGTGCAGATTAAAACTAGAATCATGAGCACAGCAGACTTCTCATACTGATAGCTTAGTCCTTTTAAGTTTATAAGTGTTTACATATAGGGCTAATATATTTTGAAAAGAAGGAAAATTTCGATTATTTTAAACCGATAATGCAATTTTGTTTTTATTCCTTTGCTCTGACCACAACCATGTAGTTTGGCAGGAGGCTGCGGTCTATATATATATATATATATGTGTGTGTGTGTATGTATGTATATATTAGGGATGGAACTGTTTATGAAAACCGTCCAAACCGTTCGGTTCGATTCGCGTGTGTTTCGTTCGGTTCATGCGCTGCTCCTTTTTCTCATAGGGGAAGCGATTACACTCCAGAGCAGAAGGTGGCGGTACTGCGACCAAAGCCAACCACCAGTAGTAAACAAGAAGAAGAAGCGAAGCAGCGTAGCCGGGTGTAGCAGGGAAAAAAATCTGTTGTTGTAAAGTTTTGTGTGGGTGTGGCGAGTGGGAAAGAACACGAGTTGGAAGACGCGCCAGCAGCACTTTATAGGTCTGCTATATGGGACCACTTTGCATTTAGAGTGACCTACGATGACGGCGGAAAGAAAGTTGTGGATAAATGTGCAACAGTGTGCAAGCATTGTGGAACACGTTTTGTTTATGCTAACAGCAACATGAATCCCACATACTCCATCAGCACTGCGCTCCAGACCGCCTGCACAACGCAAAGCCTACAGCCTCCGCTGTGGCTCCCGTCCGCTCCGCTCTGAGTTCCTTGGAGATCGTAGAGGGCATGCGCCAGATGATTAAATTCAAAGCAGCAAAACATGTGGAAATGATCAATGGTTTCCGCGGATCATTAAAAATAATTACAATTCATTAATTTTTTTTAGATTTTTCCATTAATTTCATTAATTTTTATGGGATTTCGGTGTAACAATCAACATATACCAAACTGAACCGAAAACCGTGACCACGAAACCGTGAACCGAACCCAAGATTTTGTGAACCGTTCCACCCCTAGTAAATATGCTCTCTCCATCTGCGTGGTTGCAAACAGACTATGCGTATTGCCGCCACCTAAAGGGCGGGAGGACATTCTACTTACTCCTCACAAATGTAAATGCAGCGTAAATTGAATGCCTCTGCAATTTAAAAATATCCATTTTGCAGTTTGTCAAATTGCAAATGCAATTAAATGCCCAGCTTTAGATACATACATAACACAAAACATTTTACAGAGAGACCGAATGCTGATCAGTCGAATAAATAAGTCATCATGTTTCTTCACATGCCATCGTCCTCCTCCTCACTATAGTCGCATTCCAACACGGTGCAGCTGATTATATCATTAGCGATCAGCTGCTTTAGAGGCTGATGGAAAGGAAAAGCCGCAGTGTCGGGTCTTGGCGGCACATGGTCGGGAATGGCTGCCCTACATATCTCTGTTACATGCACAGTTGGTTGGATCCAGGACGCTGACCTGGTTGTGCTGACTGATTGAGTTAGGCTCTGAGCAGAAGCCAGCGGAGGACCAGGAGGAAGTGGATGGGGGTGGTGGTGGTGGAGGGGGCGTGTCTAACAATGTGTATGGGATACCTTAGGGGGAGGGAAGCAGAGGTTAAAAAACAGAGGAAAGGGTGCACTTCAGCTGTCATTTCACCAGAGAGTCCTTTCCATCAGTGCAGGAGAGGATGGCTAGGGGGGAGGTTGGACGTAGCTTTGGGGTGGCTGGTGTGAGGGAGGTGAATTAGGATTGGGGGGGCTCGTGTTGGTGAGCAGGGTGAGAGAGAGGCTGCAGAGCGGTGTGTGCAGTTTAATAGCAATCATCATGAGGCTGTGTGGGCTGAGACCACCATGATGGTAAAAATCTAAACAGACAAGGATGGATTAGAGCCTGCGGATATGACAGCCGACTCAAAATACTGTCACATTTATTTTATATATAACAAAATGCATTAAGTTGATTTTATTCCACCTACTTTATCTATATTATATACTGCAGCATATTGAATAATACAATCCAAATGTCAGCTTTGTTATTTATGCATTGGAATCATGAAATACAACCAAAATATAGAATGAAAACTAAATTCTTATTGCATAGAATAGTTTTTCCTGCTCTTTATAAAGCAATAGGTTTAACAAAGTGACAAGTTTTTAATTACTCAGACAACCCGCTCCGATAACTAGCCTGCAGTGCCCTGATACAAGTCATTTTAACTGCCTGGATAGTTACCATTAAAAAAGGCCCCAAAATAATTTTAAACCGTGAGGAGGGATCAGGAGCCCCGGGAAGGGGTAACCTATGCAAAAATACCGTGTGGAAAAAGAAAAAAAAAGCACTCTAGGTAGTTTCTTTTGATCTTAAGCCACTAGTTTTAAACAAACAAAATAAAAACTTTGAAAACCGCTTTATATCTTAATATGGATGCATGCAACGGTAAACTGCATATAAATTATTACAAAATCAATGGAATAGTTTGGAGACCAATAAATGTGGGATATTATATTTTTTTGGCTTCGATCTTGAATTTTACAAAGGAATTATATAATAATTTCATATTTAGTCACTTGAACCGAGTCTCAGCCGATGTGACACTAATGACAACCCAAAATCCAAAAGGTCACACATTGAAGGAAGCACTGATTAAAATAGAGAACAGAAGAACAAAATCAATGTTTATTAAAGCTAGACAGCCAATATAGATTAATCTGTATATGTAAAATGATTGTATATTGGTGAAAAGCTGATATCTTTAGCCGCTTTATCAATTACCTTTTACAACAGCTAACATTGTTTTATCTCTGAATGACGGTTCAACGATTAAGGACAGGCAAAGATGGGTTTTAAAGGTTTCTTCTAAAAGAAGAGTTTATAGGATTCGCTTAAACGAGTAAATCAGAAATGTCGGATGTTTTAGAAATAACCAATTGAGTCTCAAAACTCAACACAACCTTATAAATTGTTCAATAAACCTGCTTCATTGGATGTTTTTTTTTTTAAGCCAATACCATGCTGCACACACTAAGAGATAAGTGATGAATAGAAATGTGTTGATCAGAAGTTGGCTGAATTCATTGAGCTTTGACCTACAGATATGCCTTCTAATTAGGAACTAGCAAGAAAAGTCTCTCTACTGTGAGCATTCAGTATTTATACTGTGAATATGGATAAAATGTTAAATTATTAGTGTTTACATCTTAAGCTGGTTTTGATGGTAAAAATGTAAATAATGTTAGCAGTGTTAGCTTTAATAAAGCAGCCTTAGGCAAATTCTTAGCTCAACTTCCAGATTTCCAATAGACATTTCTGAATTAAGCATAATAAACTGAATTAAGCATGATAAACTAAATTAAGCATAATAAACAAAATTAAGCATAATAAACAACAAACCAGTCCAGATTGCTCAGAAAGATCTAATGGAACGCCTTCTCTGCTCTTTATTCAGCCTTTCTGCTATCTACTGAAATATTGGCTCTCACTTGCAAATGCAAAAATCATTGAATAAAATTAACTTTTTTTTTTTTTTAAACACGATCTTTTGCTTCCTCCAAGTTTTAAAAATCCTTAATGATACTGGTTAGATCTAACACAGTCATCTTCCCACAGGAACCTCTTTCACTCTGAAGTGTTTTAAGGCTTAATGGGGTTTATTGACAAAAGGATGACATTGGGCTGATTCTTATATCTATTTAACATAAAAGCAATGTGGTTGTTGGGGCTTATCTTCTTAAAGAAACGTATTTGATATTTTAGAAAAATAAATACAATTTAAACTGTTTTCTGGAGTTAGATATTAACCCTCTGTTTTAATTTTTTCAAAATGTATCCAGACCTGAAAAACATTAGAAGCAGTTTAAGTTTTGTTTTCCTTCCTGGGGTAAAACATAAAAATAAAAAAATGCAAATTTCCTTTCAATACACCTACGGCCATGCCATGTGTCCCCTTGAGACTATTTAACTATACATAAAGCTTAGTCATAGCATTACCAACAGGAACTGCAGCCTACTATGTCATGGTTGACACCTAAACAGAGTTGGGTGAACTGAATGAGTCAGTGAGCAGTAACGCCTTGGTGCGTCTCTCCTTGGCTTAACTGCTTTGTCACACCCCATTAAAACATTTTTAAAAAGGCAAAAAGCAACCAGTGTGACCCCCGCTCGAACCATAGGCGGTGAGCACCCAATCCCCCTGAGGAGGCTAATAAAAAAATAAAAAGCAACAAGACTGCAGAGGCAAGTGATGAATCACTTTAATCTCTCTTTCCTTCAACTTTTCTCCAACCCAGCCCCCTCCCCCCTGACAACTGGTGATCCCTGTGCTCGGATGCACCTGTGCTGGGAAGATAAGGCCCTCTGAGGGGCCCTCATTGTTCCAACCCTTAACCACATTGTTTGCCGTTCCAACAGATGAGAATGGAGGTTTGGAAGGGGCTGCCAATGGGAAAGAAAAAATGTCGGATAACAGTGGAAAGCATCAAAATGAACATATTTTCACAAAAGAGGAATATCTGATTTTGCCCCCTTTTTTTTGAAAGCATCCACATATAGCATCACATTTCCATCCCATATTTCAGTACTGAAATAATTTTTAATGTCAAGGACAAATATGATACTAATTTAAAAACACAGCTTGCTGCCTTGTACTGGGCAGTATAGATAGACAAGCACTTTACTTTCTGAGAACTGATGAGCTGACAGTTTCTGACCAGTCAGCTTGGAAAAAGGTTTACTTCCTAATTGGATGTTTATGGTTTTTCCTTTTGGTTGTTTCTGGATGAGACGTTTCGGAAATAAAAAGGAGCCAACCGCCAAAAAATGTTGTATAAAAGTCTGCTTTCAGTTCCATAGCTACTGTGAGAAGCCAGTATTTAAAGTATTTCTTTTTAATAATCTACTCCAATAGCCGTAAGGAAATTAGGTCATTTGCCTTTAATACATAAAACTGACTCTTAGAAGGTCGCCTTCTTTATTTTGGTATGATTAGAGGTCTATCTGTTATATCCTGCAAGAGTGAACTAGCTTAAATAAGATTTAAAGTTAGAAATGAAAGATATTGACAGTAAAATAAAGCCTTAGACAAATTAATATTATATTTGTCCAGAATTCATAATAATATTTTTAAAAGGACAAAAAAGATAAATGAAACAAGGATTTAGTGAATGGAAGGTTTTCTGTAAGTTCCCACTTTTCTTAATGTTTATCTCACATAGATTGTCTTATAGTTTCAAATGTGCTGCAGGTTATTTGATATGTGCAATGGTAAAGACTAAATAAATACCGAATGATCCTGTTTTCACATATATGCACTAAAGTGCAATGCAGATCCTCTTGAATTTTACTCTTTTAGACACAAAATAGCAGCATGTCTCAGTTTGTTTGTGTTATAAATGTGCACTGCCGCTCGCAGGTCACCTACATGAAATCTGTTCACATCCTGTTGGAGAATGTTGGATAGTTTACTCTTTCGAGGCAAGACAGATTTCAGAGCACTTATTAGAGCATTTATTTGAGTCAAAAAACAAAAATACATTTCCTTAATCTGGTGGTTAAATCTATATATTTATTTGATCAATTACACGTGTTTAGCTATAGTGTACATCTGGAACAAGGTTTGGTGTTGTTATTTAGGTTCTCTTTCTTATTTAACCATACATAACATTGTTCTTTACTCCTTTCTTCTGTTGCCACAAGCTCACTGAGAAGAATAAGTTGCTGCTATGTCCTGCAATTGATCCAACTTCTTTAGAAGGCACATTTTTAACTGCTTGGCTCTAGTTTTCCTTGTAAAACACCTGGAGTTGTATTTAGCTGTAAAATCTGTAAAGATAATTATGGTTTCTCTTAATAGATCAAACTCATTTAACAGTAAACTGCATAAAAACCATAGGCTGTTTGAGTTAAGGACACAGCATTAAGTATTTCTTACTCTGATGTCGTTGCGCCGCAGCTCCACGTCACTGACGGCGTGGCCTTGGCTGGGGTGGCACCGGGCGAAACAGCAGTACTGGCACACAGCCGTCTGCTCGGCCTCGCAGTGGTACAGCCTGTATTCGTCATGCTGTGGGCACGTCCAGGCCTTCACCGCCTCTGCCTCCACCAGCAGGTGCCCCAGGGCCGAGCACGGCTGCTGAAGGTGAGTCTGGATGTGGGACTGGCAGCAAGGGGCGTTGCAGCGCAGGCACACCTTGACAGCGGGCAGCGGCGGGCCTCGGCGGCACAGGATGCACTGCAGCGTCGGGGTTCCAGCCTTCTCCACACTCAGGGCGTTGTACTTCTCCACTATGTTGGACAGTTTGTGGTTCTTCTCTAGGCTGGGCTTTTGCGTATAGGCATGATTGCATTCGGGGCAGCGAGCCAGAGAGGAGTCTTTGGCCCAGGCCTCGCTGATGCAGCCCCGACAGAAGTTGTGCTTACAGGGCAGCTGGATGGGATCAGAGAACACGTGCAGGCAGATGGGGCAGATGAGCTCCTCCTCAAAACAGTTCCTCCATGTCTCAGCCATGTCAGAGGCCATTGTGGTGCAGGCAGGCATACAAATCAGAACTCTCTCAAGAGAAAAACCTTATACTCTCGACAAAACAAAAAAAAGTCCCGAAAGATCTATATTTTCAGCACACCCTTTCAGAAAAATGACAAGTATTGCTTATTAATGCAGCTTGAAGGCAAAATTATGAAACCTGGACTGAAGTTGAAAGGAGAAATCCAAGCTGGATTTGAGATCACAGGAAGCAGAGCTTTTCTTTCCTCCAACTCACCCCAAGAACCACCAGACCTGCCTGTAGTGATTCAGAGCCTGGTCATAGAGCCAAAACCATCTGCTACAGGTAAACCAAGGCACACAGAACCATGAACCATCACCCAGACGGATGCAAATCTATGTGACACATGACCAGGATCTTGATATTTTCTGCTTGCACTCCTGGCCTTCCCCCTAACAACGGATTACGGTAGACTATAAACCAATTCAGCCTGAAAAAATAGGCTGCTTCAGGTCCACACCCTGGTTGCTATTCACACACACAGAGAAACGCCTTTGAAAATGTGAATGTTTTCCATAGGAGCCTCAAGGACGCCTGATTCCCTCAATAATCAGCACGCAGCGCAATGCTTTTGTCCGCTGAATTATAAATAAGCATCTAGCAGCAGTCTAACCAGACACACAACCTGCGGTGGTTGGAGAAAAACCGTCGTTCTGCTCAGATAAATAAAAAAACAAACAAAAGATACAACCTCCTGCCTTTTAATCTCAAATAAAATGATGAATGTGGCTTTAATGAGCACAAGGCCTGTTTTTTTCTTATTTTAACTGATCTAAGCAGGTTTCTCTCTCACAACAAAAGGCCTTATAATCCAACTCCAGTGGAAATTACACCCAGGCCATCGCGTCGAGGCTGTTTACTGCATAGTTAATCGTTTTAATGGTCCAGTCCAGCTCCTGCGCACAAAACAAAGGCTTTTAGGATCCGCAGGAATGTTGGCTGCCGTTGCAGAGCTGTTCGCTTCCCCCCCCCTACTCCTTTCCTCTCTCTCGCTTTGACACATCTATCAAATATCTGCTCGAACAATGATTATTACCACCATTATCACCTCAGACGTTACATTTGTTTAGCACTTTGGTCTCAAACCTTATTAGCCGTTAGCTAGCATATTCTGTCCACTTCCTTATCTCGGTTAAATCGCCTAAATTACCTCAGACGTCACCTCATCATTTTTTTTAACCATAGCTCAGGTACACACAAGCACAGGATTGACTCCTTTGATCCTAGCTACACTCATAACTTATAACAGACAAACATTTTATATATATATATATATATATATATTAAGCTAATAAAAAATACAAAAATATACCCTCCTGTTCTTAAAGGGGACGTCGCGGATTTCTGCCCTTGTTGGGGTTAGCTGTCATCAGCCATCTTGCAAATCTCCATTTAAAAAAGAAGGAAAGAAAAAAAAGCAGATATCCGCTGTGAAAATGTCCGAAGCTGCTTTTGGATACGCTGACCTACGCACAAACACACGGAGGAAAAGTCCCGTCATTAAAAAATAGAAATATATATATATATATATATATATCTTTCGGTTTTGTAGTCCTGGAGAAGTCGTCTGAACCGGAGGGGGGGTTCTGGTTGTTTCGTGGCGTAATGTATCCGGTATAGGTCGATTCCGTGCTTTATAAAAACCTATAGGTTTGTGAATAATAATGTGTTTTCTTCCCCCCCTCCTCCTCTGTCTCTCTCTTTTCTTTCTGTCTCTGTCGGCTAGGCTGCTGGGAGAGAAGAGGAATGCAGACAAGCTGACTTAATGTGTGTCAATGGCGATATCACCACACCACTTCCGGATAGACTTTTCAAAATAAAG